AAGATTTATTGATGAGTTTGACCTTTCCTTTCAGGTTATGGAGATCATGGATCGGGTTGATGGACCATACAATGGTGTCAAAATTGGGGACTTTTTCACTCTCGAGAAAACCTTCTTTATATTGGTGAGATTTAATGCAATCATAATTGTTGAGTAGAATCTAAATTTATTTTTCTTTCAGTTCATCTTGGAAAATATATCAACTTTAATGCTTTTTACAGTCAACATTGGACCTCTAATTTCAACGTGAATTCCGCATATTGATTCAATTCAATTACCATGGTAAACTAATCATTGCACCTTGTTTCATAACAGAATAATAATATAATCTATACAATATATAAAGTCAAAGCATCAAATTTTTGCGTCAAGATTGTGGTCGAACTGAGCGGGTTTGGTCGTTGCGTGATTCAAACTCAAATCACAGTCTAAAGACTCCAGTCGTATATCACTATATCAAAAGCTTCATGCTTGTTCATTTCATTCAATGAGAAGTGAATGATGAATGATAACTGTGTTAATAGCAAACATCAAAATAACTTTTTATCAAAAAATTTGCTGCAACGGTTTTCACAGGCATTATCAATTCCTGATACAAATGAGTTTGACGAAAAAGTTTGCAACTTAGTTCGACAAACAGAAAAATTGACGATTATTTTTCAAGTTGTTCGCAGTGGTTTGGATCAAACTAACATTCCGACTTTAAACACATTTGGTTATCGTCGTCTTAAATTGATAGACTGGATCATCACATTGACTTCTTTGGCCAATCTATTGAGACTTGTTATCCTCATTTTCAATGCTGATGAGCCTCTTGCCTTTTATCTTGGTGATCCATTGTTTCGTAGTAAAGGTCGTTTACCTTGTCTAACATGGGTTTCAATCGGTATTATAATAAGCGTACTTGTTCGAGAATTCATTCTATATCTTGAAGCTACAGGAACATTCGATGTACTATCCATATGGAAGGCTTGCCGTGATGGGTTCAACCAAGATAACTTACGTATGAATAACCGTAACATCAAAAGATTTAGATTAAGTGTATATTTGATCTCTCTCAATTTTCATAATGTAATGATAGGTATTCCTATTTTCTTGTTGATTCTGTTTTTTACGCCACTATTGACCAACCCTTGGACATACAAGGTTCCAAGATTGGCCTTTTTTGGTTCTTTCTGGTCAATTACACTTGTCTGGCAATCTATTTACCTTTTCGATTCAGTTATCGGTTTTGCCTGGTATATTCTGTGTGCACTCGCCTTTCATCTCTTCCAATTGTTTGATCTACTCGATTCGGCCGACTTGTTGTTAAACAAAACTGAGAAAATGTTATGCACTGATAAAGAAATTCAATCATTTTGTTTACTGATTATTCGTCGTCTCAATAGCTTTGAGTTGGCTTCTCGCAAGTTACGATACATTTTGTTAGTTTATGTTTTAGTCTACTCATTTATGGGTGATGTTTACATTTTTCTTGGGGTTATTGTAAGGGTTTACAGCGATTTTTTAGCAAATTTAATCGCAATTATCGGTATTTTTATCCTACCGCTTCTCGGATTCTTTGGTCTTGTTTTCGGCAATTGCATCACAAAGGTAATCAATAATCACTTGCAGTTTGATTCATATTGATTTTTCTTGCATTTCTGAATTAATAGCTCGATAAGTTAATGATTAGACTGCACCAACTTACCTTGAAACGTAAACTCTCAAGGAGTACGATGAGCAAGGTAAAGTATAATTATTATAATTTATTGAATTGCAATGCAATATACTAGTAATACGATCTAAAGATGAGTGATATGCTGATTTGGCTTTTTTCAGATTTGGGAGATTATGGATCGAGTTGCTGGACCATACAATGGTGTCAAAGTAGGAGACTTTCTGACTCTCGAGAAAACCTTTTTCATATTGGTAAAATTTCATTCAATTGTAAATGCTCTTGACTAAAGCTGAATTCGTTTTCTTTCAGTTCATCCTGGAAAATATTTCAACATTAATGCTATTTACGGTAAACATTGGACCTCTGATTGAACAGTAAATCTTGCACATTGATTGAATTAAACCTAAACACACTGTGGTATAAATGCGTACATTGATACTATTTTATTGTAAATTGATAGCCATATTAAAGTGATTTCATTGACTTGGGCTCAAAGAGACTTCAATAATGGAGTTAGGTTAGAAGGAAACATCAGGTTTAACCTAAAAGATCAAACTCAGAAACATGAGTACTCATAACTTAATACTATTTTAACAGTCTGATAGCTTGCGATTGAAAATCTCATGAAAAAAGTCAGTTTGATTTAAATTCAGTTAAAATCAAATAAAAATGCTGAAAGCGCTGACAGAAAGCAGCAAAACCACTTTTCTGAAAAAAAGTTTTGAACATTTGATTTCAATTCCATAATCGAGCGTATTTGACTCTAGAGTTTGCAATGTAATAAGACGAACGGAAAGATCGACGAGCCGGTTGTTAAAATTTGAGTGAAACTAACATCATCGCTGTTCACAAATTTGGTTATCTTCGACTTTAATTGATAGACTGCATCATTTTTAACATTTCTTTCGCTAAATTGAGATTTACTGTAATACTTTTCAATATTGATTACAATATTGTCCTTATCTGGAAGACTTTTTATTCTGTAGCAAGGATCGAGCTTTAGACCACTAATTTGAGCGTAAATCTTGCTGGTTGAATTCATTTATCCAAAGTGCTCTCTGATATATTGATATGTTTTAATAATCTAAATCGTGATTTCTTAATTATGAAATAATCAATTATATATTCGAAGCAATGAAAATCAATTTGTGCATATTAATGCTAACTCGATATAATATAATATGCTAAGCTGAAGTATAAACTGATTGTTATTGAAAAAGCCTTTAAGACAGTTTAGTTTATGAATAATTGATCATTGCGTGATTTACACTTTAACTTCCAGAGACTCGAGTTGAATATCACTCGCATGATATTGAAAACCCAACCACTTCAAATTATTCATTTTGATCTTTAAAAAAGGAGTGATGGCTATAAGTGAAAAAAGCGTTTCTATTAAAATACGAGAAAACTTTTTAAAGTTGAAGCAAATCTTATCTGATTCAGTAACAGTTCCTGATTCACATGAGTTTGATGCAAAAGTCCGCGACTTAGTTAGACGAACAGAAAAATTGACGATTGTCTTTCAAGTTGTTCGAAATGGTTTAAATCAAACTAACATTCCAACTTTAAACACGTTTGGTTATCGTCGCTTTAACTTGGTAGACTGGATCATCGCCTTGACTTCTTTGGCCAATCTTTTGAGAATTTTTGTGCTCTTTCACAATGCTGATGAACCTCTTGCCTTTTATCTTGGTGATCCATTATTTCGAAGTAAAGATCGTCTACCTTGTCTAGCTTTGTGTGCAATGGTTATTGTAACTTTAACGCTTTAACTTGGTAGACTGGATCATCGCATTGGTTTCTTTGGCCAATCTATTTCGACTTGTTGTACTCATTTTCAATGCTGATGAAACTGTTGCCTTTTATCTTGGTGATGCCTTATTTCGTAGTAAAGATCGTTTAGCTTTGCTAGCATTGGTTGTAATCGGTATTGCAATGATGATACCCATGCGAGAATGGGCTTTATACCTTGAAGCTAAAGGCAAATTACAAGTACTATCCATATGGAAGGATTACCGTGATAGTGCCAACCTGGACAAACTTTGTATGAATAGACTAAAAATCAAAAGATTTAGATTCAGCATATATTTAATTTCTCTTGTTTTCTATAACGCCATGATCGGGCTTCCTATTTTTCTGACAATCGTGTTTTCCATACCATTACTAACCAACGCTTGGATTTACAAGATTCCTAGATTAGCTTTTTCAGCCACTATCTGGACAGTTTCACTTGTAACAGTTATTACATTCCTTTTAAACTCGCTCGTCGGGTTCGCCTGGTTTATTTTGAGTACGTTTTCATTTCATCTGTTTCGGTTGCTCGATTTACTTGATAGAGCTGACTTTTTATTAAACAAGACCAATGCTAGCATTTACACCGAAAAGGATGTGCAATCATTTTTTTTATTAATTATTCGTCGTCTAAACAGTTTTGAGTTGGCTTCATTCAAGTTACGATATGTTTTGTTGTATAATGTTTTAGTCTACTCAGTAGTAGCTGATGTATACATTTTTCTTGGAGTTATTGTAAGGATTTACAATGATATTCTTGCAAATTTGACCACAATTTTTGGAATTATTGTTCTTTCGATTATCGGAATCTCCTATTTAATACTGGGAAATTTAATCACAAAGGTAATCAATTAGGTAATCAATTATATCGACATTTCACATTGATTTTTGTTTGCATTTATTAATATATTTCATTAGCTTTACAATTTGACAATTAACGATTATTCGTAAGTTTTCACTTAATACAATGAGCAAGGTAAAGTATAGTTTATTTATTGAATTTCAAACAATTTCAAACAATTTCGGTATTTTATTGTTACGAAAAGAGTTATTATAAATAATGGTTTGTCTTTGTGCCAGGTTTTGGAGATCATGGATCGAGTTGATGGACCATACAATGGTGTCAAAGTAGGAGACTTTATTACTGTCGATAAAACCTTCTTCATATTGGTTAGATTTTATTGCATTCTAATCGTTGTTGATTGAAATCTAATTTTGTTTTCTTTCAGTTCATCCTGGAAAATTTATCAACTTTAATGTTAATTACGATCAACGTTAGACCTCTTATTTGAATGCTCATGCTGTTCTGAGTTCTAGGTTTCTTAATGTTTACTTCGTAGTGATGGCGATTTTCGGTTTTGATTGTAAACCAAGCTTAGCTCATACAAAGTAGAAAGCATAAAGATTCTGTACAGCTACGAGAAAGCATAATGCATTAACTTTCACGGGTTTGATTTGTTTTCTTCTTGGCTAAAGAACCACAATCGATTTTAAAATACAGTAATCGCTCTCAAAATGCGACGTAACCAAGGTTACATGGTTGAGAGATCAATGGTGTTAGTCTATTCACACCGTAAATAGTATTTATTGTCCAATCACTGTGAGAATACCTCGACGTAATTTAAGTTATCATGAAAAATTCAAAGTTCTTCAAGCTATACAAGCTAATAAAGGTGTAGATCAGATTGCTTCTGATTTCAAAGTTCATCGGTCAAATATTTTTAGAACAATTACCAATCAGAAAAAAATACATGAAGCCATTGAAAAAAAGAAGAAGAAAACAAAGAGGTAAGAGTTGAATAAATTTTGCTTCAAGTTTACCTTAACTTATATATTTTTCTCGGTAACAGTTTCGTTTTACGGACAAAGGCGTGCACATTAAAACATGATTTTTTGGTTAGGTAAGTTAGATCAAGGGGCTGTTAGTTAGATCAAGGGGCTGTTGGTTGGTCGGTCAGGTTAGGTTAGGTTAGGTTAGGTTAGGTTAGGTTAGGTTAGGTTAGGTTAGGTTAGGTTAGGTTAGGTTTGGTAAGGTTAGGGTGGGCTTAGGTCGGCCTGGGGCCTTAATTAGCTTCATTTAATTCAATTGTTCATAAAGAGCGCCTTTAAAAGACGCCTACCATTGGATGCTTTTTAATGTTCACGCCTTTGTCCGTAAAACGAAACTGTTACCTTTTTCTCATTTTCATATTTTGTTTCACAGAGTTGTTGATTATGTTGACCAATTTGACAAGAAAATAGTGGATTATTTATTAGATAAACAACTGATTGGATTTCCATTGACAAGTTCCATGATAAGGGAAAAGGCAAAAAGAATTGCTAATGCCAATAATATTGAAATTAAAGCATCTAAAGGATAGTTTGAAAGGTTTTTAAAAAGGTGCAATATTAAACATGGAAAGCTTTCTGGTGAATCAAGTGTTGTTGATATTGCTGTTGTTTAGGAATTCAAAAGCTCAATTATACCTCAAATAATGACTAAATATTCACCGAAAAATATATACAACATTGATGAGACAGCTCTCTTCTACCGTCAATTGCCAAGTAAAACCTTCTTTGTTTCTAATTCACCTCACTTTGGTAGCAAAATATCAAAAGAACGCATAACAATATGTCTATGCTGTAATCAAAATGGTGATAAACTGGATCCACTCATTATTGGTAAATTCAATAATCCACGAGTTTTTCAATCAAATAGAGAAACATTGAATCAGTTCATTTACAAAAATAACTCAGCAGCTTGGATGACAAAACATATTTTCTCAAATTATCTGATGAATTGGGATGAAAAGTTGGAACAAAAAGATGAAAAAATTGCTCTAATGTTGGATAACTTCAGCGGTCATAAAATTCTTGAAACAGATTATCCAAATATTGAATTTATCTGGCTTCCTCCAGGAACAACAAGTCACCTTCAACCTCTTGACAATGGCATCATAAAGGTGTTTAAGGATGAATACATCAACTTTTTATTCAAGAATTTTTTCGATTGTTTTGAAAATAACATGAATCTATCTGAAATAGTGAAAAGTGTAAGCTTATTAGATGCTGTTTGGGTTTGTCAAGCTTGGCATGATGTAAGTCCATCGACAGTAAGAAATTGTTGGACACATTGTCATTACATTAGAGAGTTTGAAGGTGAAGAAGTTGTTGGTGAAGTTGATGAAGTCGATGAATATGATGATGAGATGATTGAAAATGAAGAAAATCCAATTGAACAAGATCTTAATATTATATATGATCAATTACCAATCACATCTAAAGATAAACTTTCTTTAGTTCAATATATGGAACAAATGTGTTACAAAAATCATAATTCCTACATCCTAGACTCTGTAGAATCAAGAGGCTTTTGAACAAGGTGTAAATATGTCCAAAATAATAGTAAATTTACATTAAAATAACATTAAATTAACACTAACTTAATACAAAATTAACACAAATGTGAAACTCATATTCAATATCAAGCTTACTACCGAGACAAAGATGTAAACAAGTAAGACACAACGTCTAAAATCACGAATTTGCCACGAAAATAGACGAAAATCTGTAACCAAAGAGCCGCATTTTGAGAGGGATTACTGTATATTCAAATATTATTTTTCTAATCAATCCTGGAAAATTTGATTGTTCAGTAACAAGTGTTTTAATTTTTGACGTTTTTTCATTTTTCAGCAAAATCAAAGCTCAAATTTTCGAATGTTTAACGCGACCTTGAATTGTGTCTCTTTGAAATCTTTTTCGACAAATTTTTCATCCATAACAAAATATAAAGTATTACATCTCTTATTGATCATTTTGCGTACATTGTTGTCTATTTTAATGCAATATGATATGCATTCTAATAAAGTGATTTCATTGACTTGATCTTGTGGCACTTTTATTTTCGAGCGTCTCAACAATACATATTACTTAATGCTAATTATACTTTAGCTTCAGTGTGACGATTCCATAACAATTTGATTTCTCGAAATTGGAAAGTTTACGCTGATGGCTCTGTGTAACTTAAACTAACCTTTTCAACTATTTGAATGTTCAATTTGACTAACTAGTCATGATTTAACTTTAATCATTTCAAATTTTGACTTATTTGACTTATTCTTGTTTCACCCTCCAACGCAACCAATAATGACTCTGAATTTTGGCTATCCTCCTTTCTTTTTCGAGGTCATATTGGAAAATACATGTTAATTACTGAAAACGTTAGAACAGAAAAAATCAATTTGTCATCAATCAAATCAATAACTCAATATAAAATAATATACTAACTATGGTATAAACTGTCAGTTTAGTTTATGAATAATTGATCATTGCATGATTTACACTTTAACTTCTAGAGACTCGAGTTGAATCTCACTCGATATTCAACCGCATCAAGCACATTCATTTTAATCAGCAAAAAGGGAGTGATGTCTATAAATGAGAGAAGCGTTTTCGTTGCAATTCGAGACTACTTTTTAAAGTTGAAGCAAATTTTATCTGATTCAGTAACAGTTCCTGATTCACATGAGTTTGACGCAAATGTTCGCGACTTAGTTAGACGAACAGAAAGACTGACAATTATTTTTCAAGTTGTTCGCAGTGGTCTGAATCAAACTGACATACCGAATGTGAACAAGTTTGGTTATCGTCGCCTGAACTTGGTAGACTGGATCATCTTATTGACTTCTTTGGCCAATTTATTGAGAATTTTTGTACTCATTTTCAATGCTGATGAACCTCTTGCCTTTTATCTTGGGGATTCCTTATTTCGTAGTAAAGATCGTTTACCTTACCTAACATTGATTGCGATGAGTATTTTAATGATGGCACCTGTGCGCGAATGGATATTATATCTTGAAGCTAAAGGTGAATTGAAAGTACTATCGATATGGAAGGATTACCGTGATGGTTGCGACCTGGATAAATTCTGTATGAATAGACTAAAAATCAGAAGATTTAGATTCAGCATATATTTAGTCTCTCTTATTTACTGCAATGTGATGATAATGGCTCCTATTTTTACAGCAACTGCGTTTTTTATACCATTACTGACTAATCCTTGGACATACAAGATTCCAAGATTAGCTATTTATGGTACTATCTGGGCATTTTCACTCATCATAACTGTCACTTATCTTTTAAATTCACTCTTTGGGTTTGGTTGGTTTATTTTGTGTACATTCTCATTCCATCTGTTTCGGTTGCTCGATTTACTTGATAGAGCTAGCTTTTTGTTAAACAACACCAATGCCAGTATTTACACTGAAAAGGATGTTCGATCATTTTGTTTATTAATAATCAGTCGTCTCAATAGCTTTGAGTTGGCTTCGTTCAAGTTACGATATGTTTTGTTATACAGTGTATTTGCCTTCTCATTATTTAATGATGTTTTCATTTTTCTTGGAGCTATTATAAGAATTTACAATGATACTCTGGCAAATTTAATCACAATTTTTGGAATTATTGTTCTTTCGATTTTTGGAATATCTGGTTTAATATTGGGTAATTTTATCACAAAAGTAATCAATCATACTGTTTCTATTCAATTTAATACTTAATATGGATTTTTTGTGTATATTTATTAATATATTTCATTAGCTTTACAATTTGACGATTAGACTGCATCAAATAACGATTATGCGTAATTTTTCACTGAATACAATGAGCAAGGTAAAGTAAAGTTTATTGAATTTAAAACAATTTCGGTATCTTATTGGGTTGGAAATAATACGAAAAAATGTATTATAAAGAATAGTTTGTCTTTGCTTCAGGCTTTACTCATAATGCATATTTGAGGGTAGAAACACGATTAAAAGATGAATGATATCATGATTTGACCTTTTCAGGTTTGGGAGATCATGAATCGTGTTGCTGGACCATACAATGGCGTCAAAATTGGAGACTTTCTTACTGTCGATAAAACCTTCTTCATATTGGTAAGACGTTTTTTAATGTTGATTGATGCGATTTCTAATAAAAATTGTTTCATTCCAGTTCGTCTTGGAAAATATATCAATTTTAATGCTGATTACTGTCAACGTTAGACCTCTTATTTGAACGCTCATCTTGCTCTCAGTTCTGCGTTTCTTAATTGGCACTGTGTAGTGATAGGCGATTTTCAATTTTTATTGTAAACAAACATAGCTAGAAGCCGATTCCGTAGAGACTCGAGAAAGCATAATAAATTAACTTTACTCGCGCATTTTTGTTGCTTTCTGAGCTAAGTATCACGTATCAAGTTCTTGGAGCTTTTGGTTTTGTTATTGTAATACAACACCAGACACCAGTATTTCAACTATTTAAATCATAAACCTGTGTTCTGTTTTTTTTAAAGTACTTAGTCTCCGTTTTTACTCAAAACCCTTCGCGATACATGATAAATTAATATGTTACGAGATTACTTAATTCTCCCTTATTACCTCATCATAAACCCCTTCTTCCATACTCTTCTCCCCCTTACATTACCAATGTATATATACAGTTGAAAATCATTGTTTAATAGTCAGTTAATAAACACCTATTTTGCTTAAACATCTTCTCGAGTTAGTTACCTCGTAACAAATCTCGGTACCTCTCGCAATCCTGGATTGATTGTAGTGTCTACTGTGTTTTACTTTTGTGTTAATTTCTTAAGTGTTTCTCAAATTGACTTGGTCAATAGTCTTTAGCCCTGGGCTCAGTGAATTGTTACATCTTTAACATTCGCCAAAATAGCGGGTAAAGGAGAAAAGAAATCTTTAGCCAAAAGTACCAGTTCGATTGCTAAGACAAGGTCTACATCAAAAGGATTCAATTTTGTTCAGTTGGTAACCGAGAAGCGGAAACAAAAAGGTGTTATAATGGAATTAAGTGAAGCAGCTAAAAATGATATGATGAAACTAATGACTGATCTCATCCAGACAAATAACGCTCAGATGACTAATATCTTCCAGACCAGTATTACTCAAGCTACTAGTCAAATGACTAATTTGATTAATGAGAAGATATCTAGTGCTCCAGGAGCTTCAACAAGTGAACCTTCACCCGTTCAAATAAGTGAACCTCCAGGAGATTCATCAATGTTCAATACTAGTTTCATGCCGAATAATCAGACCCTTGGTCAAAGCAACGGTCGAAAGACCTTCTTCAAAAATGGTCCACCACCGAAATTCTCTGGTAAAGAAAGTGAAGCTTCAGGTTGGCTTCGAAGATATGAGCAAACCTGTACACTTAATGGTTTATCTGGTGATGAATTTCTCCATGGTGTTGGTTGGTGTTTTGAAGGCATGGCCTCAGAATGGTTTTGGTCTCGCATTGTTGGAACTAGTCAAGGACTAAACTGGCCTGATTTTAGGAAGAAATTCTGTGCTGTTTTTATTAATGAAGAGGAAAGATCTCGATTGTTACACAATATTAGTGGAAGGTTTCAGAAACCGGAAGAGAGCTTGAAAAGCTATGTGTACTCAATGCTGTCTATGCTTAAAGAATACGACTCTTCAATGGATGAAGTAAAGGTGATTGGTTACATTACTCAAGGTATGAGAGAAATTTATAAGTTAACTGTTCTCTCTTATCTTCGTACTCATGGTCGTACTATGGATAAATTGGAAGAAATTGTACAAGATCTGAGTAGTCAGAAATTTGTTTCACGTTCTAATTTTAAGGGAACCGTTAAGAATAGGACTCCAGGAGTCTCTAATTCTTATTCCCATGGACCTGGTCCATCAACTTCTCAAAGACAAGAGAGTCCCAGGACGCCGTCACATGATCTTATATGTTACAATTGCATGGGTAAAGGTCATGGTGTTAGATCCTGTAAAAATCCCAAAGATACTAACCGTATCAAGCAAAATGCTGAACAGGTTAAAAGACAGAGAAGTGGCAACATTTCCGCTTCCGCTGTTAGTAACTGTAATATTAACAGTTTTAAACCAAAGGTGACGTTATTGGTCAATGACAAACCAATAACCTTTAAAGTTGATTCAGCTGCTGATGTTAGTGTTCTTAGTGAAAAGATTTGTAAAGATAATCAAATTAAAATTGAACCATGGCTTGGTTCGTCAGTATCTGTCGCTGATAGTAGGACAGTTAAACCAGTTGGCAAGGCCACAGTTCACATTAAAGGTGATGATCTTGATGATACTATTGATATTTGTGTATTACCTGGTAACCAGCAAGCTTTACTTGGTAATGATTTCAATCAGGATCATGGTTTATTATTGGATTATGTTAATAAAACTGCTGTTTATCGCATCGCATCCAAACCGAGCTCCAGGAGCAGAATTGAAGTATCTTCAGTTGAAATACTGAAAGATTATCCAGAAGCTTTTGCTAATGATCAAAGTGATGTTGGGTTAATTGAAAATGTTTATCACAAGGTGAATACTGGAGATCATCCTCCAATTTACCAGAAACCCTATCAAGTATCTGTTAAGAACAGGAACATTGTTCAAGAGCATCTTGATTCGATGCTTAATGCTGGCATTGTTGTTCCCTCGGAAAGTCCTTGGGCTTGTCCTATTACTTTAGTTGATAAGAAGGACGGTGGTAAAAGATTTTGTGTGGACTACCGGAAGTTAAATGACATTACTGTCTCCGACAAGTATCCGATTCCTCGGATTGAAGATGGCCTCGACCTATTAGAAGGAAGTAAAGTGTTCTCAACACTTGATATTGCTGCTATGTATTGGCACATCAGGATGGATCCTAGTGACCGATGTAAAACCGCTTTCATCGTACCCCAGGGGTTGTACGAATTCGTAAGAATGCCTTTTGGATTGAAGAATGCACCTGCGACTGCTGTCCGTGCTATCAATGCTATTCTTGGTGGTTTAAACTATGTTGATTGCTATGTTTATTTTGATGATATCATTGTGTTTGGGAAATCACAAGCTGAACACGATACGAGACTTCGTTTGGTCCTGGACCGCTTGAAAGAACATAATGTTAAACTTCGTCGACACAAATGTACTTTCTCTACCAATCGTATTGCTTATTTAGGACATCAGATTGATGATACTGGTATTAGACCAGACCCTAATAAAACCGCTTCTATCTCATTGATGAAGCCTCCTTCAAATGTTCATGAGATTAGACAATTTTTGGGCCTGGCCACAACTTACCGTAGATTTATCAATGGTTTTTCAAAGAGAGCTTATCCTCTCAATTATCTTTTGAAAAAGGATGTTCCATTTGTTTGGAGTCAAGAACAACAAGAGTCATTCGATGACCTCAAAAATGCTTTGACTTCACCTCCAGTTTTATCCTCTATCATGGATGAAGGTGAATTGGAATTGAGGACTGATGCCTCTCAAAAAGGTCTTGGTGCTTGTTTGCTTCAGAAGCAAGATGGTGTTTTGAAACCATTAATATTCATAAGCAGGACACTGAACCCAGCTGAGAAGAATTATGGTGTCACAGAACAGGAATGTTTAGCAATAGTTTGGGCTATTACTAAGTTACGTCATTACCTGTATGGTCGAAAGTTCGTTGTTGTTACGGATCATTGTGGACTTTGTTGGTTTAAAAGTATAAAGGATCCTACTGCTCGTTTAGCTAGGTGGGCATTGAAACTTCAATCATTTGATTTCGATGTCAAGTATAAGAGTGGTCAATTACATAAGGATGCTGATTGCTTATCGAGAAATCCATTGGAAACTAATGAGTCTGACTCTGATGACTTGGATCTGATCCAAATATGTTCTATTGATGAATCTGATGATTCATTACTTTCAATCAATCAAAAAGAAGATGAATTCTGTAAAAGAATCGTTTCACTTCTTAATTCAGAACAATTATCAAGAAGAGCAATGAAAAGAACGTCAAAGAAATTTACTCTGGTTGACAATATTTTGTATCGTAATTGTCAAAGTAAATTATTGCCTGTTTTACCAAAATCCATGGTAGCTAAAATACTTGAAGAATCTCATGATCTTCCTTCTGGTGGACATTTGGGTTATGCGAAAACTCTATCCCGTCTTAAAGCAAGAGTTTGGTGGCCTAAAATGGACGAGGAAGTCAAGAAATATTGTGTATCGTGTCATTCATGTCAAATGCGTAAACCATACTTGAGCCAGGCTCGTGGTAAAATGCAACTCCAGGAGATTGCCAGTAATCCCTTCGAAACTGTTTCAATGGATCTCTTGAGTTTACCTAAATCTGAATCTGGTTACAATTATTTGGTAGTGGTTAATGACCAATTGACTAAATTTGCAATGGCAATACCAATAATTGATGCTACAAGTACAAATGTAAAAGAAGCTTTCATCATGGCATGGTATTACGGTTTGGAACACCTAAGAAGCTAATCACTGATCGTGGTAAAAATTTGATGTCAGAGGAATTCCAGGAATACCTCAAAAGTATGAACATTACTCATACTCCTACCTCTGCTTATCATCCAAGAGCCGATGGCCAAACAGAACGCTTCAATTCCGTATTAGGTGTTGGTCTATCTATATTTGCTGAAAATAATCCGGAAAGTTGGGAAAAATATGTTGATGAACTTTTGTTTGCATATAATACTTCTACGCATGCAACAACTGGATTCCCGCCATTTTATCTTGTCCATGGTTTCGAACCAAGTCTCCCGTTAGAACGTCGAGTTGGTGCTGCACCTATATTGAGAGAGACTATTGAGTCCAGTCCATTCAATCGACTCAGAGTCGCTCGTAATTGGGCTCGGGAGCAAATTATTAGAGCTCAAGGCAAAGCTAAACAACGTTTCGATCGATCTAGAGTAGACGATAACTTCAAAGTTGGCGATTTAGTAAGTTTAGCCCAACCACGATTGAAGAAAGGTAGTTCGAAGAAGTGGAATAAACCATTTAAGGGACCATATCGGATTATCAAACGCAAAGGACCAGTAAATGTTGAGTTGATTAACTTGAAAGGACCAGCAAGAACTCAAGTTGTACATGTTGAACGTTTAAAACCTTATAATAGTCGTAACATTTGACAATTACTGCGTAGATTATTGTATAACACAGTAATCATTAGTTTGAGCTTGGCGCCTCAGAGGCTAACTTCTTGGTCAACGACCCTTACCAAATTAATTAACTTTGATGGTCATTTGTTAATTAGCTTTCTAATCAGTGACATCAATTTTACTTGTATTCAAAAAAAAGCTTACTTTGAACTTGTGCTGGAGATGGATTTTCAACCTTTTGTCGATCCTAATATCGTCTATGATGACTCGAACTTTGTTGACCGCACTCAAGTTAGTGACTTTGTTTGCCTATTGTGTCTCCATGTACCATTTGAACCTGTGACTCATGGCGAGTTTCATGGTGTTTTTGGGCCCAGGGCCAACCAACCACCTTGTTCAGCAGTCTTCTGTGATGGATGTTTTAATAAGTATGTTGCCGTATTCAACGCTGACTGGGTTAATTTCCTAACATGTCCACAGAATTGTGGTCGGTCAATGACTACTCGACATGGTTTTCCTGATATTAGAAGGATTGATCGAGAAAGACAAGATATCCTTGACAATCTCTTGGTTAATTGTAGTTATGAAGATTGTGATGAAACATTAGCTTTTTCACGCTTGAGGAATCATCAGTCAAGCTGCAATTACAATCCAAGGATTTGGTGTTCAAATTGTCGAACCAGGAAAAACAATGATCATGAGTGTAGACAGTTTGTCCAAAATTTGAAAGATGAAATAGCTCAGCTAAAAGCTATGCTGTCGCAACAGGGCCCAGGGCCAAGCGAAGCTTCATCAACTCCAGCAACTGCTAAGGTTAAAGCAATTTCAAATTCTGTTCAAGTCCTCCATACATATGGCAGTGGTGCTGATATTACCGTTCGATTTGGTGAACGTACCAAGACTTATCATAGGGTTGCTTTGGATTACTACAGGACGTGACTTAAGATCACGAATTGAACGAGATTTTGGTTGTCAAGTTGGTCAAATAATACACATCAAGCATCGTGAACTTACCAACAATATGCTTGTCCGACAAGCTGATATCAAACATCGACCAACTTATTTAGTTGCCCTACCTAAAGATATGACAGTGACCCTGGGTCAAACCTTAAACATCAACATCGAGGGTCCTGGACCAGTAATTTAGTAATTTGAACGAGACGTTCAAAAATCGAAAGGGCATATGTTACGAGATTACTTAATTCTCCCTTATTACCTCATCATAAACCCCTTCTTCCATACTCTTCTCCCCCTTACATTACCAATGTATATATACAGTTGAAAATCATTGTTTAATAGTCAGTTAATAAACACCTATTTTGCTTAAACATCTTCTCGAGTTAGTTACCTCGTAACAAATATATCCAAATATTGATAAAATGATAATAAAATTGTATTTAATTACCATGGTAAACTAAACATTGCGTTGTTTTTCAGAAACAGAAAAACAATAAAATACAATCCAAGTATATTCATGTTGATTCAATTTAATATAAAATAAAATAATCAATCTCAGGAAAGTTTAGTCTATCAATAGTTGGTTGTTGCGTGATTTACTTTCAATTAGAGAGTAGAGATTCAAGTTGCATATCACTTCCGTGCTATTGAATTCAAAAGCTTGATTCATATTCATTTTAAGCAACGAGAAGTGAATGATGGCTGTGAATAGTGCTAATAGCAGACGGCAAAAAGTTTTTTCTTTAAAAAATTGGAAGCAAATTTCTTTGTATTTAACTTCAATTCCTGACTCGAAGGAATTTGACTCAAAAGTTTGCCGCTTAGTTCGACAAACAGAAAGATTAACAATTATTTTTCAAGTTGTTCGCAATGGTTTGGATCAAACTAACATTCCGACTTTAAACGCATTTGGTTATCGTCGTCTTAAATTGATAGACTGGATCATCACATTGACTTCTTTGGCCAATCTATTGAGACTAGTTGTACTCATTTTCAATGCTGATGAACCTCTTGCCTTTTATCTTGGTGATCCCTTGTTTCGAAGTAAAGGTCGTTTACCTTGTCTAACATGGGTTTCAATAGGTATTACAATGAGCGTACTTGTGCGAGAATTCATTTTATATCTTGAAGCTACAGGAACATTCGATGTACTATCCATATGGAAAGTTTGCCGAGATGGGTTCAACCCGGTCAACCTGCACATGAATAAGCATAACATCAAAAGATTTAGATTCAGTGTATATTTGGTCTCTATTATTTTTCATAACGTGATGATTGGGCTTCCTATTTTCTTGTCCATTTTGTTTTTCACACCGTTACTGACCAACCCTTGGACATATGAGATTCCAAGATTGGCCTTTTTTGGTACTTTCTGGTCAATTACACTTGTTTGGCAATCTATTTACCTTTTCGATTCAGTTATAGGTTTTGCCTGGTACTTTCTGTGTGCACTCGCCTTTCATCTCTTTCAATTGTTTGATTTACTCACTTCGGCCGACCTTTTGTTAAACAAATCTAAGCAAATGTTATGCACCGAGAAAGATATTCAATCATTTTGTTCACTGATTATTCGTCGCCTCAATAGCTTTGAGTTGGCTTCTCGCAAGTTACGATACATTTTGTTAGTTTATGTTTTAGTCTACTCAGCAGCAGGTGATGTTTACATTTTTCTTGGGGTTATTGTAAGGGTTTACAGCGATTTTTTAGCAAATTTAATTGCAATTATCGGAATTTTTATCCTACCACTTCTCGGATTATTTGGTCTTGTTTTCGGCAGTTTAATCACAGAGGTAATCAATATTCACTTGCATTTGATTCATATTGATTTCTTTTGTATTTCTGTTAATAGCTCGATAAGTTAATGATTAGACTGCACCAACTTACCTTGAAGAGTAAACTCTCAAGGAGTACGATGAGCAAGGTAAAGTATAATTAATTTATTGAACTGCAATGAAATATACTAGTAATACGATCTAAAGATGAATGATATCCTGATTTGGCTTTTTTCAGGTTTGGGAGATTATGTATCGGGTAGATGGACCGCACAATGGTGTCAAGATAGGAGACTTTCTTACTCTTGAGAAAACCTTCTTCATATTGGTAAGATTTCATTCAATTGTAAATGCTCTTGATTAAAAGCTAATTTTTTCGTTTCAGTTCATCTTGGAAAATATATCAACTTTAATGCTGTTCACGGTAAACATTGGACCTATGATTGAACAGTAAATCTTGCTCATTGATTGAGTTCTTTAATCGCAAACGCTCTCTGTTATAAATGCGTAAACGTTAAATCTTGTTTGCTTTAAGATCTTTTATTAAGCAATTATTCATTCAAAATAAAAAACATTGCATCTTTCATTGATCAATTTGCGTAAATTGGTGTCTATTTCAGTGCAAAGTGGTTTGCATACTATATGTTAATAGATTTCATTGACTCGGTCGAAGGCATTTAATAATGGAGTTTCTAAGAAATACATACGTATTATTACATACTAGAGCGATCCATTGATGGTTACCATAGCATAGTTGAATTAACTTGAGATGGACAAAAACTTTTTTAAGTTACTCTCCAGGCCGTGTTTGATCAGGGAAAAAGGTTTGATTTATTTTCTAATTAATTTGATTAATTTGTGCGAAAAAAATTTAAACGCAGAAATTTTTTGAGCTCAGAGTTGAATTTTTACAGATTTTCCGACCATTCGCTAGAAATAAAGACTTTTTGCTGTGAATCCAGAATCCAGCCGCCTTATTCATCCAAACTGAATACAGATACAGCTAAATGTCTCATTTAAAGGCCAAAAGTTGAGAAAATCTGTAAAAATTTAATTTCTGAGCTCAAAAATTTTTCGTTCAAAATTTTTTTGAGCACAACTTAATCAAAACTAATTAGAAAATAAATCAAACCTGTTTCCCTAATCAAAGAGTAACTTAAAAAAGTTTTTCTCCATCTCAAGTAAATTCAACTATGCTAGGGTAACCATCAATGGATCGCTCTAATATTAGCTCTTATTATTTATAGTCACTATTAACAATTTGATGGGATTACAAATCTTATGACAAAAGTCAGTTTCATTTCAATTCAGTTAAAATCCAATAACAAGACTGAAAGCGCTGGCAGATAACAGTAAAACCACTTTTTGAAAAAAGATTTTTCTTATTTAATTTCAATTTCTTATTCGAGATAATTTGACTCAAAAGTTTGCAATGTAGTAAGACGAACGGAAAGATTGACGAAGCTGTTGTAAATGGTTTGAGTAAAACTAAATTCACACCTGTGAGTGGATTCGGTTATCGTCAACTTTAATTGATAGAATAGATCATTTCTTCGGTCAATACTGTAATAATTTTCAATACTAATGACAATATTGCCTTTTATCTGGGAGATCCTTAATTCTGTAGCAAAGATCGATTACCTTTGTTCACATGGGTTACAATAGCCATATGGAAGATTTAATCTGATTATAATCGAAATTGAAATCTAAATTTGTTTTTCAATTGATTCATGGAAAATATAACATATTAATAAAGATCAACGCTAGACCTCTGATTTAAGCGAAAATTTTTCTGATTGATCGAATTCATTCATCGAAAGTGCTACCTGCTATTAATACCGGGTTGAAATAATAATATGAAACGTTTTAAAAATAGAATAACATTTCAGGTTTTGATTTTTTGATTAGATTTTTTTCATAAAGTGAAAATTCAGCTTTTTGTCTTTCATTTGGTACTTCAATCGTAGTTTTGGAACACACAAATAGCGAATAGATCGCTTTTTAAAAAAAGTCAATTAAAATAATTTTTTGAAGCCTATGGAAAGTTTAACATTGAGCAACCAAGTTTTTCCAATCTCCCATAGACGCGCCATGTTAAACTCTCAAAAATAAATTTTAATTTTCATTGACTTTTTTTAAAAAGTCGATCTATGCGCTATCTGTGTGTCCCGAAACTACGATCGAAGTGCCAAATTAAAAACAAAAGACTGAATTTTCACTTTATGAAAAAAATCTAATCAAAAAATCAAAACCTGAAATGTTAATTCATTTTGAAAACGTTTCATATGATTATTTGTAGCCCGGTATTAATAGCAACTTTACAACTTGACGATTAGATTACATCAAATAACGATTATGCGACTTTTTCACTAAATACAGTGAGTAAGGTAAAGTATAGTTTATTTATTGAATTTTTAACAATTTCGGTATCTTAATGAGCTGGAAATATTATTAAAGGATGTATTATAAAGATTAAGTTGAATTTGCCACAGGTTTGGGAGATCATGGATCGAGTCGCTGGACCATACAATGGTGTCAAAGTAGGAGACTTTCTTACTATCGATAAAACCTTCTTCATATTGGTAAGATTTTATTTCATGGTTAAATTGTTGTTAATTGAAATCAAATTCGTTTCCTTCTAGTTCATCCTGGAAAATATATCAACTTTAATGCTAATCACGGTCAACGTTAGACCTCTTAACTGAATGCTCGTTATTTGAACGCTCATCTTGCTCTGAGTTCTAGGTTTCTTGATCACTGTGTAGTAATGGGCAGTCGGCGATGATTTCAGCCTTGATCGATTTAAAGGGTAAAAGAGCTTATATAAGGTATAAAACGTAACAATCTCGTAGAGATCCGAGAATGCATAATAAATTAACACTTACGAACTTATTTTTGTTGTTCTTTGAGCAGAGTATCCTGTAGCATCGATCTTTCGATAGTCGAATCATCGATCATAGTTTCATTGCTTGTCATTAATCTTTATTATTAGTAAATTATGGACTGTCGGTCAGACAGTTGGCTATCTTTGTATTTGGATGATTTCAAGGTTTATTATCCCCTTTGAGTGGAAATTCGTCTGAAAATCTAGAAAAATCTTTCCAAATATCAACCTTTTTGGATTTATTCGTTCGCATTTATGGGTCTGTGTACGACGATTTATTAGCCTTCTCGTCAAACACACTGTAACTGTGCAGTTGCAGTTATTGTGCTACGATAATTACTGAGTCGGAGTCATCAGTTGCAAGTAGCAAATTATGCGATGGGAATTGACATCAAAGCTAAAATATTGTTACGGTTAGGTAATGAGCGATTGGCTTTGCCCTTATACAGCTCAACTCGACACAGTCCTAAACACCAATACAATCTTTATAACCTAGAACGTGCTATCTCAACTCTTAGACTGCACCAACTTACCTTGAAGAGTAAACTCTCAAGGAGTACAATGAGAAAGGTAAAGTATAATTAATTTATTGAACTGCAATGAAATTTACTGATGCTACATGTATGAGGATAGAAACACGATCAAAAGTCACATAATATTCTGATTTGGCTTTTTTCAGGTTTGGGAGATTATGTATCGAGTTGCTGGACCATACAATGGTGTCAAAATAGGAGACTTTCTTACTCTTGAGAAAACGTTCTTCATATTGGTATGATTTCATTCAATTGTAAATGCTCTCGATTAAAAGCTAATTTGTTTCCTTTCAGTTCATCTTGGAAAATATATCAACTTTAATGCTGTTTACGGTAAACATTGGACCCATGATTGAACAGTAAATCTTGCTCATTAATTGGATTCATTGATTGCAAACGCTCTCTGGTATAAATGCGTATTTGCACTTGAAATCTTATTTGCTTTGAGTTAAACAATTTTCATTTAAAATAAACTAAAAAGTATTGCATTTTTTTCGATCAATTGTTCATGTCAATTTTAATGCAATATGATTTACATACAAAAGTGATTCTGTCGAATTGGTCAAAGGCTCTGTAAGAATGGAGTTTCTCCGAAATGTTATACATATTATTACATATTAAGACTTGATGCTTTTATTGAAAGTCAATATTAACAATTTGATGCCTTGGAATTGACAATCTTATGACAAAAGTCAGTTTAATTTAATTCAGTTAAAATCAAATAACAATGTTGAACGTGCTGGCAGAAAGCCGCAAAACGACTTTTTTAGAAAAGTTTTTCTTTAATTACGATTTCCGATTCGAGTAAATTTAGCTCAAAAGTTTTCGATTTAATAAGACGAAGAAAATATTGACAAAGTTGTTGTTATTGGCCTGAGTAAAACTTACATCATCGCTGCGAACGAATTTGGTTATCCTCGACTTCAATCGATAGACTGGATCATTTTTATCACTTCTTTGGTTAAATTGAGATTTACTTCAATACTTTTCAATACTAATAACAATATTGTCTTTTATCTGGAAGATTTTTTATTCGGTAGCAAGAATAACCTGTGTGCAGATGGGTTGTAATGGACATTTGCAATTATGTTTACCTTTCAAGAATGGATATTAATCCTTGAAGCTAAAGGGATATTCGAAGTTCTGTCCATATGAAGATTTAATCTGATTATAATTGTCATGGATTAAAATCTAATTTCAGTTTCTATTTCATCTTGGAAAATATAACATGTTACTTACGATCAACATCAGACCTCTAACTCAAGCGTAAATCTTGCTAATTGATTGAATTCATTTATCAAAAGTGCTATCTGGTATATTGATATGTAAACTAAACATTAAATCGCTATTTCATAATAACAAAATGATCAATTATGTACTCGAAACAAAGAAAATCAATTTGTGTATATTGATGCTGACGCAATATAAAATATAAGACTATTAAGCCTTTAAGATAGTTTAATTTATGAATAATTGATGATTGCGTGATTTACACTTTAACTTCCAGAGACTCGAGTTCCCATCACTCGCATGATATTGAATTCAACCGCTTCATCTCATTCATTTTAATCAGTGAAAAGGGAGTGATGGCTATGAATGAGAAAAGTGTTTCTATTAAAATACGAGACTCCTTTTTAGATTTGCAGCATTTTCTATCTGATTCAATAGCAATTCCTGATTCACATGAGTTTGACGCAAAAGTTCGCGACTTAGTTAGACGAACAGAAAGATTGACGATTGTCTTTCAAGTTGTTCGCAATGGTTTAAATCAAACTGACGTACCGAATGTAAACGCGTTTGGTTATCGTCACCTTAACTTGGTAGACTGGATCATAGCAATCACTTCTTTGGCCAATCTATTTCGACTTTTTGTACTCATTTTCATTGCTGATGAACCTATTTCCATTTATTTTGGGGATTTTTTCTTTCGAAGTAAAGATCGTTTACCTTGTCTATCATTGTGCGCAATGGCTATTGTAATGATGGTAACTGTGCGAGAATGGGTACTATACTTTGAAGCTAAAGGCAAATTGAAAGTACTATCCATATGGAAGGATTACCGTGATGGTGCCAACTTGGATAAACTGTGTATGAAAAAACTCAACATCAAAAGGTTTAGATTCACCATATATTTCGCCTCTCTTATTTTCTACTATGTGATGATAGTTG